CTAACAATTATTTGAGACAGAAATCTTGAAGCAGATACTGCAGATGTGAACATAGGGAACAACCGCATTCTTTCTAAGCACCAGCCATGATTAAGAAGCAGATACATTAACTTCTGAACTAATTTAGAAAATGAAGACTTCTCAGTGTATAAAGTTCTCTGACAACTTATTAAGAAAAGCATCCCACAAAGCAAGAGGAAAGTGTAATTCACAAAAGGGAAGTGAATAAATATCAAACAAATCATATTACAATATTTCTCAGAATCTACCAAAGAAATATAATTGAAATTTGTCACAATGACACAAAACTAGCAAGGGTTTTTGTTTTTTGTTTTTTTAAGATTTATTTATTTATTTTTATTTTTTGGTTTTTTGAGACAGGGTCTCCCTGCAGCCCCAGCTGTCCTGAAACTCACTATGTAGACAGAGATCCACCTGCCTGAGTATTGGAACTAAAGGCATGCATCACTATGCCTGGCATTTAAAATTTATTTTTATTTTTAATTATGTGTATGTGGCTAAGTCTGAGTGTGGGTACGTGCATGACTGCAGGTTCCGGAGGCCAGAGGTGTCAAATGCTCCTGGAGCTGGAGTTACAGGCAGTTGTGGGTTTCCTGATGTGGGTCCTTTGCAAGGGCAGCGTGCAGTCTTAACCACTGAGTCGTCACTCCAGCCCAACAATAGGCGTGTTTGTAAAATTCAAAGTCCTGACGAGCTGTCCACTATATAGGTGTCGGCTAGACGAGCTGTCCACTATATAGGCGTCAGCTAGACGAGCTGTGCACTATATAGGTGTCGGCTAGACGAGCTGTCCACTGTATAGGTGTTGGCTAGCCCAGGGAAAGGACCACGCTTTCAGGGCCAGCAAATCCCAGACGTCAAAGCATCCTAAAATACAGAAAACAAAATGAGCAGACTGAGCATATCTTTGGACTTTTCCAAAAAGATAGGCACACAGGCCACTAGGGACTAGTTCCCTGGACCAAGAGAGGCAGATGGGGCCCCAAGAAAAGGCAGAAGTTTTTGAGGCTGTCTTCACACAGCACAGAACTCACAGGGTCCAGAAGATGCGCTCAGGGCCCATACTGCATCCCATGGCTCGTTTGCAGGCACACAGATTTCTTTCTCTGGAAGCCGTTCTGTATCACTATTTACAGAAGCTGGAGGGAGGAGCCTCAGACCTCCACATGCCACACAGAGGACCCTAGGTCCTGCTGTGCTTCTGGAAATTGACTGAAGCCTCAGAACTCATTTAAACTGATTTCTGTACATGGCTGGCTGGTCTCTGCAGAACCACAGTGACCAAGGGCTCCAGACTCACCGCTTCCAACTGCATTCAGCAAAAACCCACAGCTTCTCTTGTTTTGAATTCCACAAGCCCTTCCATGAGCTCTAGGGAAGAGGGAGAGGGGGAGGGGTCAGTGCTGGGGATTGAACCCAGGACCTAGTTCAGGCAAGCACTCTATGACTGAGCCACACCCCAGCTCTACTCATGCTTTGATAATAACGATTGTTCAGGGGATTAAGCTACATTCAATTTTTTTTTAAAGACAGGGTCTTACTGTGCAGCCCAGGATAGACTCAAGCTTGCAATCCTCCTGCTTCAGTCTTCTGATTGCTGAGATTATCACCACTGTTGCTAGTGACATTTCATTTCTTCCTGTCCTAAAGCCTCCAGAGGCCGGGGTGCAGCAGGGTTGCCTCCTCCTGAGCCATCTGTCCTTGGCTTGCAGTCGCTCTCTTCAACCTATGTCCTCACAGGGTGGTCTTCCATGTGTCTGTGTCACTCTGGCTTCGAGCCCACCCTAATGATCTCAGTTACCTGTACCTCTCTTTAAAGTCCCCACCTATAAATATGGTCACATCCTGAAGTGATTGAAGTTAGGTCTTCACCATAGGAATGTTGGGGGACAGATTCAGCCCCATAAGGCAGGGGATATAGTGAATATATTCTGGGCACCACATCTTATGTAACTTTGAGACAACCATAGCTGGGCAGTGACATCCAACCCAGGTCTGGAGGAATCATCTCAGACACAGGATGGCCCTCTGAGGTCAGCTGTGTGTGCTCTGGGGAGGCTGCAGCTGAGCAGCGGGAACTGTGGGGCTCACTGGCCATTGACTGTGGTCTCTGAAGGAAGGTCAGTGAGGCTTATGGGGGCGGGGGGGTCCCAGGATTCCTTCTATTGTTCCACTAATGTTCTAGAAGCTTCCAGATGTGCATTAGTCAATGGGCAGTTCCAGCTACAAACGGTCCACTCCGCTTTCAGAGCACCAGAGTCCAGTTCAGATGTAACACTGCTCCCGCTATGAGGCATGGCAGCCTGTTGGTGTGGCCTGCAAATCAGAAAAAAGTTAACTTTATATGTGCAAATGTGCAAACGTGTGTCTGTCTGTCTAACTTTTATGTTGTAGGCTCCTGAATATGGAAGTCAGAAGACAACCTTGGATATTTTTCCTCAGAAGTTATCCATGTTTTTATTACTATCTATAATTTATCATCAATCTATCATTTCTCTTCCTATCATATCTATCATCTATCAATCATCTATCAATCATCCATCCATCCATCATCATCTATCTATCTATCTATCTATCTATCTATCTATCTATCATCTTATCATCACCTTCTATCATGTCTACCACGTATCTATGTGTGTGCCATCAGATGCCAGAAGAGGGTCTTGGAGACCACGAAGCTGGAGTTCCAGGCAGTTGTGAGCTGTCCCATCTGAGTGCTGAGAACCAAACTTTGGTCCTCTGAAAGAACAGTCTACACTCATAACTGATGAGCCATCTCTCATCATTTTGTTTTGTTTTGTTTTGGTTTTGGTTTCTTTGAGCATCTCCAACTAGACTGGAATTGGCCAAGTAGACCAGGCTGACTGGCCATCAAGCCCCAAGAAACCCACGTGGCTTCTTGTCTCCAGCACTGGGATTACATGACTGGCCTTTTGTGTGGGATCTGGGGATCCAAATGGTCTCATGCTTTAGCAGCACTTTACTGACCGAGCCACATGCCCAGCCTCACCTTTACGAATTTTTATAAGTGTTAAGTTCACAGCAGATTTGAGAGCAAGGGTCACAGGTTTCTATGCATGTCTTGCTTCTTGTAGTGTCCCGACCAGAGCAGAATGTGACCTTGGGATGAAATCACCTACACCCATGTGAGGGCTCAGGCTTGGTGCTGGGTCTGGACAAACTATCACAGTTCCACTGTTGTACTGTCATACAGTGTGGTCATGCCCTAAAAGTTCCCTGGTCTTCATCCTCCCTCCCTTCAACACCAGGCAAATACTGATCACCAGGCTCCACAGTCCTATGTGGGGGTGGCCTGTGCTGGATCACAGGAAAGCAGCCTCTTCTGATGAGCATCTGAGGTCACATCACTTTTTTTTTTTTTTTTTTTTTTTTTTTTTGTCTTTTTGAGACGTCTCCTTTTAGCCCCAGCTGTCCTAGAATCACTATGTAGACCAGGTTGGCCTCAATCTCACAGAGATCCGCCTGCCTCTGCCTTCCAAGTGTTAGGCATGGTTGAAATCTCCTGTTTCTGGCATCAATAATATTCAAGTCTGGTGTACCATGGTTTATTCACTCACCTATTGAAGGGTGTCTTGGTTTCTTACAAGATCTGACAGATCTTTTTCCCCTCACTACATTCTTCATGTGTCAAAAACTGATGACCATGTGTGTTCACAGTCCATAGTCTCAAGACACAGACATGACTCCTTGTACTCCTTTGTGGGGTGTTTATGCATGTCTTTTAAAGACAAATCTCCCTGTAGCCCCAGCTATCTTGGAACTTACCATGTAGACCAGGCTGGCCTTGATCTTAGAGACCTACCTGCCTCTGCATCCGGAGTGCTGGGATTGAAGGCCTGAACCACCATGCCCAGCTACACTGGGATTTTTATCAGATAAAGGCCAAGACGATGATTACACCGGAACCGTTCGGCTTCCACTCAAGGCCGAGTTCTGTGGAAGGTGGAGGACTGCACACCACTGATGCTGAAGTATCTTATTAGCCTTACTGGAGACCGGTTCAGTCAGCACACACTGTGCACACCTGGAGGCAGGGGGGCTTTTGCACTCACTGCCCACACGAGCTGACCCTTCACCTTAACCGGACAGGGCAGATTTCCCAGCACCTGATCTTGCACTGCGGAAGCTGTCGTAGGCCTCAAATAGAGACGTGTTAAAAGGCTCAATAACAAGGCGGCGAGGAGAGGCTCAGGGGGCAATGGCACCGACTGCCCAGCCTAGTTCCGATCCCCAGACCCTGCATGATGGAGATCGATTCTCCAAGTTGTTCCAATGGTCACACGTGCTGTGGCATGCGCATGCACGCGCAGACACACGCACAGGCCTGGTGGTGGTGCAAGCGCCCAGAAGGCCCGAATGCTACAGCCCCTTTCCAGACCCGGTGAGTGGCTCTGAAAAGAGCCTTTGGATCGGTGGCAGACCACAGGCGCGGCGGGCCTAAGCCCGCTCCCCGCGGATGCGGCGCGCCAGCTGGATGTCCTTGGGCATGATGGTGACGCGCTTGGCGTGGATGGCGCACAGGTTGGTGTCCTCGAACAGCCCCACCAGGTAGGACTCGCAGGCCTCCTGCAGCGCCATCACTGCCGACCTCTGGAAGCGCAGGTCGGTCTTGAAGTCCTGCGCGATCTCGCGCACCAGGCGCTGGAACGGCAGCTTGCGAATCAGCAGCTCGGTGGACTTCTGGTAGCGCCGGATCTCGCGCAGGGCCCCGGGGCCGGGCCGATAGCGGTGCGGCTTCTCCCCGCCGCCGGTAGCCGGCGCGCTCTTGCGGGCGGCCTTGGTGGCCAGCTGCTTGCGCGGGGCCTTGCCGCCGGTGGACTTGCGGGCCGTCTGCTTCGTCCGCGCCATCTCCACAGCTTGTCTTCCTCTTCTCTTCCTCTTCTTCCAAATGCGGCAAGAGGCGCACGGCCGAGCCTTTTAAAGAGCCTGCCGCAATTCCATTGGTCGCCCTTGAGGTAGCGTGATGGCCGGTTCAGCGATCTGATTGGTCCACGAAGAGCCCCCCTCTAGAGCGTGCCCTTTATATTCTCTTCTGTCCTCCTGGTCTCCAGAGTTCCGCGAACAGTCTGAGCCAGTCTGGATAGCTGCTGGAGTGGAACGTGGTAGAACTGAGTCATCCCTGCCTCAAAGACCAGGGCATAAAGAACCTTCTAGAAGGTAGCACTGTGCATGCCACTTTTATACAGTGATAAGGGTGAATCTTCTTGAACTCTGGGATTCTAAAAAATAGTGTTGAAGGAACTCTCCCCAGTTCCTGATAAGCTTCTAGAATCCTCTGTCCCATAGGACTCAGACAAGGCTTTAGCCAGTCATGTGAGTTCAAGGCCAACCTGGGATACATGAAACCTGGTCTCAAAACTAAAAAAAAAGACTCTGGCATTAAAATAAATCAGCAATAACAAAAACAACAACAAAAGAGCATTGGAATATTCCACACGTTACCTGTGCAAGTGGCTTCTGATTTCCTTAGCCTTTGGGGAATATCTTTACCATCACATATGATGCAGTGGTCTTTGAAAGCTACATCAGAATGAGAAATAATCAAGAGATTATCAGTTACTCAAAGTTTACTATCCATAACTGTCCAATATCAGCAAAAATAATTTTAGTACTGTTAGAGGGATCTTCATCCTTTTGACCTCCAACATCATTGTCAGCCTTATTCTGGGAAATACTCATTTCCCTGCAAGTACACTGGTGTTAGTCCAGCATCAGGGCAGGTTTGTGTCCACATTCTGATTGGCTGACATCCCTTCAGATTTCCTTAAGCCCTTATTTGAATATAAGCCATATAAATATGATAGCTTGTGCCAGAACTTTATGAATATATACTATTTATTTATTTTATGTGTATGAGTGTTATGCCTGAATGTATGTAAGTGCACCCACGCCATGCAGTGCCTGGAGAGGTCAGAACAGGGCATCGGATCCCTGGCAACTAGAGTTATGGGTGATTGTTAGCCGCCATGTGGGTGCTGGGATTTGAACCCTTGTCTTCTGCAAGAGCAGTCAGTGCCTTTAATCACTGAGCCATCACTCCAGTCCCACAATGAACATTTTAATGCAGTGCAACATCTATTTCTACATACAGCCAGGAAGGCTTAACTGTCAGATGTGACTTATGCTCAAAAGAAAAAAATGAGCAGAGCTGGGTTAAAGGTCACACAACTTGTGTTTTTATAGTACATGGAATCCCACTTAAACTAGCCAACAGGCCGTGGAAAACAGATGATGCAGAGACCCAAAAGTTCAGTGCCTTTCCATAACAGGAAGAAGATCACCCCACACCTACCACCCCCTCCAAGGCTCAGGGACTTTTTCAGAGGAGGTTGGCGGAAAGAATGTAAGAGCCAGAGGAAGGGGTGGAGTGTTAACTGGAAGTGTCCTCTGACCACTATGCTGGTAAGCTGTAGTCACACCGCTCATCAAGGAGTCCATGGGGGCGTCAGTTACCCCTCCCACCTAATCAGTTGCCCTTAGCTGCATGGGGGGGGGGGGGCAAAGGACATACAAACTGAGAATACAAAGAGGAAACTCTGTCACCATTTTGTGTGGCTGTTGGGAGATCACAGGATCTGTATTTGAGTGCAGCCATAAATGTGGGGTGCCCATTCTTCTGTAAATAAACTCATATCCTATGCTCTGTTAATAAAAATAAAAAGGTATAGGTGAGCACGTGCTGGGCTCTCCCAGCGCGCACTCCTGGGCAGTGAAAGTTCCTCCGCTACTGAGGTCTACTCAGTCGATCCCGTCCCTATTTCACCCGTATACCTTCCTCAGGATGTGAGGTCCACTGGCCACTTGGACCACACGGGAAGCGTATGAGGGACAGCGAAAGCCAGGGTGTCCGCGAGTCGGCGACGGAGGAATAGCGCCCCCCGGGGAGACTGGATCACAGGATTTAGTGTTACAGCTCAACAAGTGACTCAGCTCAGATCTCAGTGATTCAGCTCCAGCTTTATTGGGGTAAAACTAGGACTATTTATAGTGTAGAGACAGCAGAAGAAGCCTTAGCTGATAGGTACTTTTAGGATGCCTCATTTACATAGGGCGGTGGGCTTCTATCAGGCTATCAGACAAGGCCTGATTAAAAACCTGGCAGCTCCTGTGCCGAAGGGCATGTATTTGTGGCGAGCACTTTAAAAGAAGAGTCAGGGAGGATGCCAGGAAGGCACTCTGCTATGAAAGGAATCTGCAGCACATGGTTTCTGAGCTCATGAGCTATCCGGACGTGAAGAGACTTCTACTTGCATAACAGAGGACCCCAACAAAAAGGTCACACAAGTCAAGTTCCAAAGTGTGCAGATCTGTACCCAGTTGTCAGCAGTGAGGTGTAAGAATAGTTGTATCTGCCAGTATCTGACAGGAGGTCTACTGACTTATGATTAGTTTGTTGAGATTTCATGGTAGAAAACTGAATTCCTATGAAGTTTAATGGAATAACCAATTTCACTGCTAAGGGTACTCTACTTGGTTTTCACTGAACTCAGGGAAATGCTTCTATTTCCCAGTTTTCTATGAATGTTATTAAATTCAATTAATTTTTATTGAATTTTTGTGTATTTCATACATAAAATCACCTTTAGATTCCCTTTCCCCTTCCTGTTTGGCACCCTTCCATACCCTCCCCCCAACTGGAGTTCATACATTCTGTTGTTTGTGTTAAGGCCCATCATGTAAAGTTAGTGTCCTGAGATGTCCCTCAGTGCAAGTTCATCCACTGGGGTCTAGTCAGCCTATCTAGAGTCTCTCTCTTCAAGAAGATCAGCTCTTCCTCACCCAGCAGTAATCAGCTGCCAATGATTCTACAACTAATATTGGGGCTTGCTGTTCATTTCCACAGTTCTGTGCCGGGTTTGTCTGCCTAAGTTTGCATGGGTCTTGTGCATGCTGACACCATTGCTGTAGGTTCTCATGAGAAGGGTTCCATGCATCTGTAGGTCTATTTCTATATGGTCATGCACCTCCTCCCTGGCTCTTACAATCTTTCCACCCCCCTTCCACAATGGTCCCTGAGCCCTCGGTGGGTGGACCTTAATATAGTAGTCCCGTCCAAGGTCCTACACTCTGCTGACTCTTATTCTCTGTGTTTTGGTCATTTGTGACCTTTTGTGTTCCTGGCCCTCTGTTGCATGAGGGAGCTTCACTGATGAGAATTGAAAGATCATTAGTGTTCTCTTCATCCCTTGTTCTATATTCTGTGAGTCTTAGGTGTAGAGGTTGCATCCTGGATGTGCCACTTAGGCTTGGGCAATTCACAGAGAATCTATGTGTGCGACCAGTGGTATAACTATGTGAAATCTCTGTTGAAAAAGAATACAGAGATGGGTGGTGATTGGGATGCTTGTCTGTAAGTTTAAGGATCCATATTTTGTACATAGTAAGAAATTACATTTGTCTAGGGATGTGAGAGCCTTGGGTTTTCTCTAAGATCTATGACCTCTCCAGTTATGTGTACTTGGCTAGGTTTACAGTACCACACAAGTTTCCTGCCATGGAGTGGGCTTTAAGTCCAAATAGGTAGCTGTTGATTACTTCCAAGATAAAAGTGCCACTACTGCACCAATGTCGTTTGCTGTGCTAGTCATTGATATGGATTTTAGGCCTTGAAGCTAGGATTGGATCACTGATTGCTGTTCTCTCTTAGCAGCTTGCATAGTGCTCTCCAGAACAATGAGAGCCAGCCTTCAGGGGAGGGGGCTTCCAGGTCACTTCCAGCTCCGTTGCTCCAAATCCTGTGTCCAAGGCATGTCCTGTCTTTAGCAATAGGGTCTTATCATCAAGTTCTGTGAGGCAGTCAAGGGCTGTGGCAATAGCCTGAGTAATTTCAGGAGTCTCTTGAACCACCCTGGCCAACAACTCAAAGGAAGATTCCTCCTGCCTGGCACTGTTTCTTGTTATGTAGCCTTCAGCTATACTCATGGGCTCATGTAGGGATATTGTATGTGTAATTTTCAGTAGGTGTTTGGACTAATAAGATTCCTCCTGGTTTTTTATACTAGGTAGGGACTATTTATCTCTCCTCTTTCTCTCCCTGTCTTCTCTTCCTCCCTGCCCTCCCCATTTAAAGTGTCCCCCATTTCCCCATTTCTCCCTTGAAAATTTGTCTGCAGTGGTCCCTCCTCTTTTGAGCTCCTTCTTCCCCTTTATTCCCACAGTTCCTTGTACAGCCCTCCTTCTCCCCTCCCCTTTAACTAACCCCTTTTGACACCTGTCTCTCTTAGTGACACCTGTCTCCTACTATTCTTCTCTCTCAGGTTCCTTCTTTCCATTTACCTCCCTGTTCCTTTTACTTCCCTGGTTCCCTTCAATTTTCCTGGCTCCTGCAGTTACATCAGGATATACACTCAATGATAAGGATTTGATATAAAATTTAAAAAAATAAAAATAAACAAAAAGAATTAAATTATGTGATTTACAGGAAAAGATAGAAGGTAAGATCACAGTGTTAAGTCAAATTAGACAGACCCAGGAAAAAACAAATATTAGTTTTTCTCTTAAATGAAAGCTCGATTTAATGGGGGTCTGGGGTGGGGGGAAGGGAACTAGAAGGGGTTATTTATGAAGAGGAGGACCAGAGGGAGGGGGAAGTTGTGAGAGTGAATATGATCAATATAGATTCTATACATCTGTGTGTGGAAATATCAAAGTGGAACCCATTACTACCCACAATTAATACTCGTTGATAAAAAAAACATCTAAAAGGATTGCTGAGCGTGGCAGCGTGCCTTTAATCCCAACACTCAGGAGGCAGAGAGAGGCAAGATGATCTCTGTGAGTTCAAGGCCAGCCTGGTCTACATAGTGAGTTCCAGGCCAGCTGGGACTACAGGGAGACCCTGTCTCAAAAA